GGCCGTTTCCCCGCCGGGCGCCAGGAGGGGGGACACTTGCGCCGCGCGCCCGGGGCTCCCCCCGCCATGCGCCCGGTGCCAGGCCAGCCCCGAGCACCTGGCAGGCGCATGGAAATGCCCCCGCGGGCGCCATGGCGCCCGCGGGCACCGTGTTGGGGACCACGGTCTTACAGTCTTCATGTAAAATTAATTTTCCCTCCTGGAAACTGACCTTGATCAGCCTTCATACAAGGAAGGCATAGAAAAATTGACTGGGGTCATAAATTTCCAAGTTTGGAATTCTGAATATTAAAGCTCACAATATAACATGTTCCAGAAAAATACTGACTGTTCTTAATATTTAGGAAAATCTGCATGTAACACTTCATAGGAATAGACAAATCAAAACCAAAAAAATTAGAACTTGATGTAACATGGAAGTAATCACCTTTTGTCAGAATTTCAGTCAAATCTACAATTTAGTTATGCACTTTCAATTCACCACGTGACTAAGTAAGTCTTACATCTTAAAATATGTCACCTGTGGCAATCCTTTCTTACACCTCTGTATAATTTCACAGACAATTTATTTTAAAGAAGGGGCCACCTACCAAATACCAGGAAGTTTATGTATTAATGCTGATTTTTGGTACATTTCTTAAATGGTATGGGTTTCTTTAGTGATATATATTTGACATTAGAAATCTCCAAGATGAGAGCTAGATTTTTTTTTCCAATAATGGCCATCAATTCTGGATGCCCAACTAGAAATTCTTAGGGCCCAATAGAAAAACTAACAATTTCAGTTCCTATTGACTTCAACTAAAGCTGTGGGTGCCCAGACTGTTTAACAATAAGATTTCTCAAATTGAAGCACCCAGAATTAGTGCCCAGTGTTTAAAGCATTCACTTTCAAGAACATTTCTGGACCATGGATATATAGCCAATAAATCATTAATCTAAAGAAACTAGCAAAGACTTGAATTATAATTATAAGCAAAATCAGGAGAACTGCAGAAGCAAGGCAAGTCAGTTAATAAAATCTGTGGCACTTCCTTTGCTACATTCGCCCACTTCCTAAAAACTCCTTCTGCCACAAGACTTAAATCAGTGGTCTCCAAACTTTTTAAGCCCAAGATTACTTTTTGAATTTAAGTGGAAACCAAGATCGACGTCAAGCCCAAATACTGTTGCCCCGCCTCCTTTGTGCCCCTTCTCCAAGGCTCCCCACCCCTGCTCACTCCTTCCTTCCTCACTTTCAGCAGGCTGGGGTGCAGGCTCTGGTCTTGGATCAAGGGATTTGGATTGAGAGGGGCTCTGAGCTGAGCCTGGGGCAGGCAGTTGGGATGCCAGAAGGGATTCTAGGTGCAGCCTCTGGGAGGGCATTTGGATGCAGGGGTGCTTGGGGCTGGAGCTTGGGGTGCAGCAGGGGGTTCATGACTGGGGCAGGGTTTTGGGATGTGAGCACCAGCTGGGCACTGCTTACCTCAGGTGGCTCCTGGGTGGTGGTGCAGTGGGGATAAGGCAGGTTCACTCCTGCCCTGGCCCTGCACCACTCTCAAAAGCAGCCAGCAAACTCCATCCCAAATCCTGTTATGCCCCCTCTCTGCTCTGTGGAGACAGGATACAGGGTGGGAGGGGGCATCTTGACATCAGCACCCCTCCTTTCTCTCCCCTGCCCAGAAAGCAGATGCTCTTGAGGGGACAGCTCTAAGGCAAAGGGCAGGAGATGTGCAGCAGTCTGGGGGTGGGGGGGACAGGCAGCTGAAGTGCTGGGCTTGATAACCTCTTGGCCAAACCAGTTAGGATCACCTGTTAAAGGCTCCAAGATCTACTGGTTGGTAATCACTGCCTTAAGTAAAGTGGGGATACACTGTTAACCCAACCAAATCCAGAAATCACATAGAGGGGTAATATGCCTTGTCGTCTCAAACCTGCAAAAATGGCATGATTTACACAACTTATCCTGTCTCAGAGAGGTAGCCATGTTAGTCTGTAACTTTAAAAACAAATAGTCCTGTGATACCACAGACTAACAGAACTATATATAGTACCATGAGCTTTCGTGGACAAAACCCATTTAATCAGATGAGCACTTTTCCTGTGCATAAATTTACCTGGTAAGTAACTCCATTGCATATTTTCCTGATTTGCTCAAAAGGCATGTGGGCAAGACACTTCTGTCTCTTACGGGGGCTCAACTCAGGATGTCATCCTCCAGCATAGCAATATCTTGCAGAGGTAGACATGCAATTACTACCCTGCCCCTCATGGTCCTCCCCCCCTCCCTCATCCCCACCAGCATTGTACAGGGGGCTAGGCCAGTGGAACATAAATCAGAAGATGTTTCATCATCTCAAAATGAACCACTGCTGCTTGCTAATCAGCCAGCTCACAGGAGAGAGCTGCCCTGGGGTGAGTGTGCCCACTACAATTGTTTAGCTCTGCAGGATAATTAACTGTTAATATGTAAATACTGCTCATGCCAGGATGGGGAGGGAATCCGAGGTGTGACTATGTAAATCCAATTCAGCCAGAGCTGATGGAGTGTCAGTGTTGGAATGGAATGTGGTGTATTGTAAATAATTTGGGGCTGTTGTGGGGGTCACAAATCATGCTACCCCTAAATGTGGGAACTGTAAAACATGACACCAGTGCTTGCAGGCGAGACACCATCAATGTAGAGGTCTCCGAGGAACAAGCCTCCCCCCCTTCCAGAGTTGCCTGAACTGAGCTGGGGTGGGGGTGGGGGAAGGGTTAAAGGGCTTGAGTCAGCCTGCTTCACACCTGCCAGGTGTGAGCTATAAGACTGGCCCAGCCTGCACCCTTCCCCCTATGTTTTAAGGATAGACCTAAAGCAGACTCCATGAGGAGTCTTTTTGCTAGTCCACTGGAAGCTGGATTCCTTTGCCAGTCCAGGTGGTGGCTAAAGAATTGAAGTCATCAAGGCTGCATCTAGACCGGCAAGATTTTGCGCAAAAGCGGCCGTCTGTCTAGCAAATACTCCGACGCTCCCGCTCAGGGATAAGCGCTCTTGAGCAAGTATTCTTGTGCAAGAGGGCCAGTGTAGACAGACAAGTTAATTTCTTGTGCAAGAAAGCCCGATGGCTAACATGGCCATCGGAGCTTTCTTGCACAAGAGATCATCTTCACTGGCACAGATGCTTTTGCGCAAAAGCAAATCTTTTGCACAAAGGCACATGCCAGTATAGACGCTCTCTTGCGCAAATACTTTTAACGGAAAAACATTTCTGTTAAAAGTATTTGCGCAAAATCATGCCAGTCTAGACGCAGCCCAAGTTTAGGTCTACACTCGCGGCTTCTTGCACAAATACGGCCATTCATGCTCAAGAATTTGCAGTGTCCACACTGCCCGCCTGCTCTTGTGCAAGGAAATTTACAGTACGGCGTGGTAAGACAGGGCTTCTTGCGCAAGAGTTACACTCTTTTTAACAGGTGTAAGCCCTCTTGCGCAGGGCCTCTTGCACAAGCGGACAGCGTGGACGCTTGGCAGGGATTTCTTGCGCAAGAGAGCGTTCACACTGCCATGGACGCTCTTGCGCAAAAGCACAGCTCGCACATGGCAGTGTGGATGTTTTCTTGCGCAAGAAGCTGTGAGTGTAGACATAGCCTAAGAGCTGAAATTGCAGCTAAAGCGGCAGCGTCCAACAGAGTGGCTGGTGGGAATCACTGGCTCATGGCACTCATGTAACCGGATTAGACTCCTGCATAAATAAAAGCCTGGCTGACCAGCACTTGACTTCTCATTCTGGTAAGTCAGAAACAAATCGTTTCGCGCAGCAGAGGGCACAACTAATTGTGGGAGTCCTCTGTTGCTTCTGAGCAGTATTGCTGTCTCTGGCCATCTTTCTCTTGGAGAGGCCCTGGAACCTCCCTATGGGGAAGGACTGCAAGGCTAGACAATAGCTCTGGTGTCTGGCACTTGCAAAGCAAACCCCCGTGTTGGAGAGCTGGTGGCTGAGTGGACTGTTTGTGGTGGGGGGGGGGGGGGGGGAGGAGAGCTTAGCTCATGTTTGGGTTATGAACTCTGTTTGTGGTATTTTCTCAAGTTAATGCCATATGACTTCTCTTTCTGTTTCTGTTTCGTTAAATGTTTCTTTCCTACACTCAGACTCTGTGCTTGCAAGTAGGGAAGCATTGCCTCTCAGAGGCACCCAGGGGTGTGTGACTTTCCCAGATTACTGGGTAGGGGCTAGAGCCGATTCTGTGTGAGAGGGACCCCAAGATATTGAACCCGGCCCAGGTTGCTGTCAGGCCTACCCGGCAGAAGGGTTACACGCATAACTGGCATGTCAAATGGGAATGGCATGTTATCATTGTTGATATGAAGATTAGAATTTGCATAATTACTTATGCTTTTTCTGATTACCCTAAGTACCTGTGATACTGTAGCCCACTCATGCAAGAGCCTCATCACCTATGAAGGGCTGGAAAACTCTGAGAAGCAAAAGACAGGAGAGGAGATTGCCAGGGGAACAGTGACTGCAACCCAAGAAAGGACAAGTCAGGCAGAGTGTGAAGTGATGGTTCCCAAGAGCAATCACACAGGCCTAGTCTGCACTTGCAAGTTTTGTCATGAAAAAATCCTTTTTGGCAACAAAACCCAAAGAGCGTTCACACTGCGACAAGACAAAAGTCGTGACAAATGCCCAATTTTGGCAATCAAAAATTTGCACTTCTACAGGCAACTAATCTCTCCCCCTCTCTTTACTACTGACAATTAAGTAGCACATACTGCAGTAGTTTTTGTGTTGTGTTTGTCGACCTCCAGCATGTTTCCCCACTATGCCTAATTAGCCACTTCGGCCAGCGCTTTGACCTCTGCTGCTCTGCAGTCACAAAGAAGATGTGCCTCTCCCATCTACAAACCCCAAGAACTTAAAAAAATCTATTTCCTAGTGCCTGGCACATTGTTTAGTGTCGCTCATGGCATCTTCTCAGGGAAATAGAGGTGGCTATTGCACTCAAGATGCTCTTGTGCTTGGAGCAGTGCAGAACTTTTGGATCTTACCAGTGTGTGGGTGAAAAATCAGTGCAATTACAGCTGCGAGTGACCCACAGGAACTGGGACACACATGGTCACATTTCTCCAGCCCTTTTTGAGGAATATGAGCAAGATACCCTACAATGCAGAGCCAAGATAAAAGGAACTCCAGCAGAATTCCCTCTAAACTGCAGGGCAGCACAGCTTCACAGGTGATTAATCAGACCTGCCCAATCAGTCAGTAGGGTTGCCAGATGGTTTAAGCAAAAATACTGAACACCCTCCTCTCCTCCACCCCCCCCCCCCAAAAAAAAAAAAACAAAAATAAAAAAAAAAAAAAAAAACAAAAAAAAAAAAAAAAGGGGGGGGGGGGGGGGGGACACCAAAAAAAAAAAAAAAAGCTGTTAAGAAAAAAAAATTTTAAAATACAATCAGCATGGCCGACTTTAAGAAGAGGTTTTTTTGCCGGAAGTCATTTGTTTTTCTGCCAGCCACAAGACAAGCCCCTACAGAACCAGGTGGGGGGAGGGGGGGGAGAGTCCGGGATGAAGGTTAAATCTGGTGATAATCAGTGTGCCAATCAGCCAGGAGTTGTTCTCAAGTACTGATGTTTGTGAGAACTCTCAGCAATTATACATGGAGTATGAAGGAAGGGTCACTAAGCAAGGGAAGAGACACAGCATATGTAGCTATGCAGGCGGGCTGGGGAGGAAGAGTGGTCTGGAGGGCAGCCATATGAGGCAGTAAATTGCTCTAGTGCAGCCAGGGTAGGGGAGCAGTCAGCAGTGTGTATGCCATGCTGCCTTGTAAGGTTGCCAGGTGCCCATTTTTCAAATGGAATACCTGGTCAAAAAGCAACCCAGGTGGCTCTGGTCAGCACTGCTCAGTGGACCATTAAAAATCCCTGCCCAATTCCACACAGCTCCTAAGATGAGGCCAGCATGTCCCTCTTGTTCCTTCGCAGAGAGGAGGCCACCAAGGTTATGCACACTGCCCCGCACACCAGCTCCACAACTCCTCTGGCCAGGAATCACTTGAGCTCAGAGGCCATTCCCCAAATCCTCTCCCACACACCAACCCTTTGCTCCAGCCCAGAGTCTCCTCCCACACTCCAAATATCTCGGCCCCAGCTCAGAGAACCCTTACACAGCCCAAACTCCTTCTCCCTGGCCCCACCCGAGAGCCCGCACCCCCAGCTGAAGTCCTCTTCCCCTCATCTTCTGCCCCATCCCTAAGCTGCCTTCTTCCCCCCACATCCCAAAACCTCAGAACCCATACCACCAGGTGGAAACCTGAACCTCTCCCGCAGCCCAACCCTGTGCCCCAGCCTGGTGAAAATGAGAGAGTGAGGGAGATCAAGTTATGGGGAGAAGGGGATGGAGTGAGCAGGGATGAACTTCAAAGGGAAGAGGAGCCTGTGTGTTTGGTTTGCTTCCATTAGAAAGTTGGCAACCCTAGGATTGTCAGAAGAGTTGGATCCCAGGTGCCAGAATTCCTGTAGATTCTAGTAGGCAGCCCATTATTCACTGCAAGAAAGAATTCTCTAATGCAGGAGTGGGCAATCATTTTTGATGGGGGAGGGCACTTCAAGATTTTGGTAAGTGGTCAAGGGCCACACTTTTCCATATTAATGGAGACAGTGCAGGGTCTAGGATAGGGGTTGGATGCAGAAGGGAGCTCAAGGTAAGGGACTGGAGTGCAGGAAAGGGTGTGGGGTCTGGGAGCGAGTTTGACTGAAGGAGGGGGTTGTGACCTTGAGGTGAAGTAGTTTGGTTTGTGACCCGGATCAGGGGATTGGGATGCAGGGTCTGGGTTGTGACATGGGGCTGGGGTGCCAAATGCAGACTCTGGCCATGAGGCACTTACCGAGGCAGCTCCCAGCCAGCAATCCAGTGGAACCCTGGAGCAGGCTCTGAGCCTCCCCCTCCACCCACCCACCCACAGCTCAAAGCAGCCAGCTGTGGGCCATGTGCTCTCTGCATGCCTCAGACCTCTGCTTAGGTGGGCAGTAGGGAGTATGTTGTGTGCCGCAAGCATGGCCAAAGCAGAGCCCATTGGCTGTAAACCAATAGGACTGCAATATTACGCTGGGGGTAGGGAAGCTCAGAGAAGCACATGGTCCCAATTGCCGGCCACTTTGAACAGCATGCAACATGAACTGGTCTGTGGTACAGGGGCGGGGCAGATTCAATTCGTGGGCTGTATTTTTCTGGGTGCTGGCCTAATGCTTATAGCTGAGCACAAGATCATCATCCCACAATTTACCAGTCTAGGATGTTACAGTTTTGAATTTACCATGTATGTAGAGCTATATGGATACAATGGAAGTATCTTGAGCCAACATACAAAGTGTGACCGTGCTTTAGTTTGATACAGTTAATCTAATGTATTTAGAATGGTCAAACTAATCCAAAACAATATGCCCATAGAGATAATCCCCTGAACCCAGGATCAGTATCAATTTGGCCATTTATCTGACAGGGCTAGTTATGAATTTCCCTATTCTAGCTGCCGACTTGAAAAATAAACAAAACCAAACAAACAGCACAACATCAAATTTACTTTTGATTAAAATGAAGTTGATGTTCTTCCCACAAAGACTGTACATAAAGACTACTTTAAGACATAAGTTAACTCTAAGTAACATCTGTGAACAATAAATTATCTAGTTAGCCCTAAATTTTAGACCTGATTATATTGCAATTAATTATTATTGTTCTATTTTAAGACAGTGATTTCTTTAAAATACTACCGTTACAACAGCAGCACACTTTACCTACACTGCAATTGCCCTAGAAGACTGATAGGGAAAACAGCAAAAGAATTTTAATAAAACTTTGAGAATTGGGGCATTATCTTAGTATGCAGCTAAACAAAACAAGCTAGTTTTCTGAACCCCTTTTGCCTGAATGGAGCCTGATATCAATAGAAATATTTTGCTAGCATCTTGCCTCAGTGCTTTTTTAGTTTTTACTCACAAAAGTAGTGTGTACCGTGTACAGAACTCCCCCCGCCCCCCCTCCACACACAGATTCCTATTCTCATTTTAAATAAGGAGTTTAATACAAAAAATACAGCATTTTGCAAATACTTGAATTTCCCAAAAAAATCTATGCTGCAAGAAGCCATATTTTTGGAAAGCAGTACCCACGAATGCTAGAAAACTAAAGGCAGGTTGTTGGCAGCAATGTGAGATTTGTGTAACAGCATAACGTGTTTCAACCAAGGAAAAAGAGAAGCTGGGTTTGTGGTAGCTATGGATGAGACTGGGACACGGAGAACTGCACTCTTTAAACCTGACAACTCCTTTCTATGGACAATACAATCACCGGGATTCTTCCTCCCATTCCAAGCTGCCGTGAGATAGAAATCAACTCCTTACTGGAGGTGGGTGGGAATAACGCGTAACCCCACCTCCCACCTAAAAGTGGACACGTTTACATGAATTGCAAAGCCCTGAGAATAGCAAGGCAGCGACAGAAATTCAAGCACATTGCAAACCTAGCTCTGTTGACGGCAGGACCCTATACACAGATGTCACGCCTATAGATAATACGTGCTGGGGGAGGAGGGAGGCAAGGTGCGGCTGATCGATGGGTAAAAGGCTCCCTAGGCAGGATGAGGGCTGCCTGGTCCGTGCAGGGTGAGCGCCCCAGAGCAGCAGGAGAAAATAAATGGAATGAAATGAAGCAGCAGGAGCAACAAGGGCTGAAGGGACGAGGTACCGCGGGGTTAACTGTCCGTACAGCGCCGTGCACTGTGGCCCACAAAAACAGCCGCTCTGCCTGCTAATCCAAGGGAAGCGGGCGCGGGCAGCAAGGAGCCGATGGGCTGCACGGGGATGGGCGGGGGCGAGCCAAGGTGAGGTCCCGAGAGCAGTGGGGCGGGGGTGAGAGCTCACTGGGCCCCGGGATGTCCCCAACGAGCGGACTCACCATTCTGCAGCGTTTCGTGCAGCAGCAGGAGGCTGAGCAGCACCCACGGCCTCATCTCTCTCGGAGCAGCCGCGGGCGGAGGCTCAGGCGGGAAGGCGGCGATGCTCCTGCCCTGCCCGGCGCGCCAGGGAAGCGGGAATGGAGAGTCCGCCGCAAGCTCCCAGGGCGGGGGGGGAGGGCGGACTAGAGCCGTAGGAGGAGCTCGCTGGAGCCCGCTGTCCCTGCGCCGAGCGAGCTGCTGGGCACTTAGCCCGCCACACCCTGGGGCAGGCGCGCGAGGCAGCCGGGCAGAGACGGGCACCCGCGGCCGCCGCCGGAGCCTCGATGTTCTCCCGAACGCCGCTGGAAGCCCCCGGGTCAGGTCTGGGCCCCGGTTAGCGCAGCCCGGGCCCCACTGCTCGCTTGCACGGGCTCCTCGTCCCCAGCTTCTCGCAGCGGCCTGCGTCAGGCCGGGCATTTCCCGCCCCGGACATTCACGACGAGCCTTGCGGTCCGCGGGCTGGGGCCAGCCACAGGGACAATTCCTCTGGGCGCTGTGCAACGAGGAGGCGTCCTATGCTGCCTTACGCCCTGAGCTCGCCTGGCGCGCCTGCTTGAGGTCACACCCCTGGAAAGGTTGCACAGCCCGAGGCATGAAAGCGCACGGCCCGTGAGAGAACAGAGGTGCTGGTGTGAAGCCTTCTTCCGCAGGAACGCCTCGTGCAGAATTTGATCATTACAAAGTTGCATGCTTTAGTAGGAGGGTTTCCAGCTTTCTGATTGCAGAAAACCCAACACCACCATGTCCATTGTGCTGCTTCTTTCATTTTCATCAGGGTGGGGACACGGCATGGGATGAGGGCTCCAGCGAGAGAGAGGGGGAGCTCAGGTGTTAGGGATGAGGGATTGGGAGTGCAGGCTGGGGCTCCAAGCTATAGCAGGAGGCTGGAGTGGGGCCAAAGGTTACAACGTGGGAGGAAGGCTCTGGGCTGGGGCAGGAGGTGACGGATGCGGGTTCTAGGTTGGGGTGGAGGCTTTGAAGGAAGGGGTCTCAAGTCTGGGGCAGAGGGTTGGCATGTGAGGCAGTCCCTGCTCCAGGAGGCAGTTTGAGTGAGGGAGGAGGTTCCATGGTGGGGCAGGGGGTTGGGAGTTCAGAGTATGGGTTCTATACAGCACTAACCCAGTGGGAGATGTGGAGTTTGCACTTGGGGTGGTGGCAGCATGCAGAACCCCCCTAGCTGCCTCTACCTGAGAATCTGAGTGACATGCCAGATGCTTCCCATGAAGCCACTTGTAGCCAGGCATGGAGTCATGCTGACCAGAACAGTCAGGGTCCCTTTTCTACTGGGTGTTCCATTCAAAACTTGTGTACACCTGGCAACCCTACTTACTGAAACTCAGTGGCACAGCTCTGGGAACCACATAACTCTCTGTAAGGGCCGATTTTATCCCCGTTACACACTACTCAATATAACAGGTGGAAATCAGAATATTGTAAAAATCAACTAGTAGTCCTGTGGCACCTTCTTCAGATGAGAATATTGTAAAGAGGGCTTGAAAGGATCCAGTGGCAAGCACAGCAGTTTAGACTTTAGTGTGCTGAGGGAGTCAGTGAGAGACATCTGGTTTCTATAAAATAGTGTATTAGAGTTCCGTGTTAATAAAGGAAAACAATTTTTCTTTTTGTTTTTTTTCTAACAGTCCTATAAATATGTGGAATCTGAAAGTCAGACTGACTTTTGTCCTTCTTGCAAATCACCATTAAGAAAGTGTTCGCAGGCTAGATTAGTTTCTAGCTAACACCTATAGAATCTCTTTATCGTGAAACCATATAATCAATAACACCTGCCTACACCTGTCAATTGTTATGTGAAACTGATTGGAATTTATAAACAGCTGTGTTGCTGATGCACAGGTGTCTTATTTTGATGTATCAAATTCTTAAGAACCAAATGCTCCCATTACATGCAAAACATGCAATGCCCATTAAAACTGTTAGAAAAGTTTACTAGCAGCATTAATCTAAACTAGCTCTGATATTTTTGGATTTTTTTAAAATTGCACTTGCATGTCAGAAACCCCATTGCTGCATCTTAAAATAGCCTTAAATGGTAGAATCCTTAATCTTCTGCTGTGTTTGTAGATTATGTAGCTAGAAACCCATTTGGCAGTTTATCATAAGTAAAATCCACATTTCCTTTCATATATATTCTATTAATAAAGGATTAGGATCTGACAGCTCAATGGACATATGAAACTAGACACAGCAAATTCACATTGAAAATGTTCCAGGTTCACTTCTAGCAATGCATTTGAATTTCTTTTAGAGTTTCCCACTCTTATCTGCAATAGTTGTATAATTCAAAAAAAGCTTTTCATGTCACTTTTACTGGTTTTTAATCCCATGTCCCAAGGCTTAAAAAGGAAGGTATTTCAAAATTAATTACAGTTACCCTGTGGGAGATTGAAGAGCATATTTTAGAATATAGTAAGTATGATATCACTTGGAAAGAAAATCTTATTGTTTTGAAAGTAAGCAAATTTGGAAAGGTAATATGATACATTTAACATTACATGATTTAACAATATATATTGAGTAAAATCAAGTTGTATTGTAATCATATTTTATTTTACACTTCCTGTATAATGGCTAAGCAAAATATAATGTCTCCATTACTTTGAAGCATATGCCATTACTTTGAAGCATATGTGACATTTGGTAGAAGCAAGAATTAAATAGTGATCAGACACATCAAAAGAGGAAATGTTTTATAGATTCAAGCTTCCACACTTTTCTGGAATGTCTGGGTACACCTACACAGCAGTATCATTTCCAAATAATTGACGTTATTCCAAAATAACAAAGAGCATGTCTACACTACAGCCCATTATTTCAAAATAATGGCGAGCTGGAGGACTTCTTACTCTGACTCGTGGTAACCCTCATTCCACAAGGAGTGAGGAAAGTCAAAGAAACAGTGTTCTTCCTTCGATTTTCGCTGTGTTGACAGTGCCAAAAGCCAAATTAAGCTATTTAAACTTAAGCTATGCAATTGACATAGCTCAAGTTGCATAGCTTAATTTGGCTTTTGCCCTGCAGTATACTATATAAGCAGCAGTGAGCTTTAGTAATAAATATATATCCCTCAAAACAGCCCCAATGCTGTAACAGATGTGATGATTAACTTTAAGCATGTAAATAGTCATACTGTAGACTCTGTGGCATCAGAATTTAAATCTATTTGCAAAATGACTCAAAGGGTTGAATTCTGTCCACATTGAAATCAATGGCAAAACTCCTATTGACATCAGCAGGGCCACAATTACACTCCAGAATAATCTGCTCTAATATATCTACATAATTGGTAGAACTGCACCATTTGATTCAGTAATAAAATAATTTCCAATGTGGAGGCAGGAAAAAGGGAATAAGGGATTTGTATGCAGCCATTTTTGAGTTTGGTTAGCCTAACTCATGCTAACACTGAGACCTAACAATGCGAGAGCTGTGAGAGACACTGTTTTCGCCTCTCGCCTCTCTTTTGTGCTTGAGATAAGGATAGAATGCTGACTCCATTGAAGACCTTGAGATAAGGTGGCATCTGAAGGGAATTGTTATGGGAAGGGGAATAACTGTTTGTTATTATATATAACGGACAGTATATATATTGGCTTCTAATTGTTTTGTATTTGACAATCTGCCTAGCAGCAGCTTCTTCCCTTGCAATATTGCTCGAATAAACTGTCTCAGACTTCTTGGTGCTCACAAACACAGAGTGAAGGCCTTTTTTCTTCCACAATTTGATGCCGTGACTCGGATGGCAACGCCCAGGAGAAGACAGCGACAACTGCTATGGACAGTTCTCCTTCTGCCCCCCAAGGCACCAGACTAGAGGTAAGAAGCCTTTTGAAATCTCTACTGGGGCTCAGGAGGAGGACTGCCCATGGAGCCTCGTTGGGCTCTCGCCATCCAAACTTCTTGAATCAGCAACAAGGTCAGACACAAAAGCGGTTATGGGGAACTTTTGTTTTGCCGCCCCCAAGTAGATTAAGTAACCGGTTCTGGGGATTTTTGTAGTGCTGCCCCCTAGTAGAGTTAGTTGATGTGGTTCTGTTGATGCGATCATGGTACCGCCCCTGCTATGGGAAAGTTGTATTGAGTCCGGACATAGGGAACTATAGGTTCCTGTGATTCTGGGGGGAACAGTGTTGGTTGCCGCCCCAACGGTTTCTGGGGGGGGAAACATGTTGTTTGCTGTCCCAAATATGGTTAAAGTCCATAAACAGAGATGCATCTGAATGTAGATGAATGAGTATGAATGTAATGAGTAGAGTATGAATGCCACTGCCCAGGTCTGAGACAAGCTGATTCCAGCCGCACCAGGGCTCTCCCAGGCCTGTTTTCTTCCGCACCCAGCTTGGAATTAGACAGCATTGTGTAATTGAAGACACTGGGTCAGCCCCTCAACTTGAGTAAATCATCATAGCTCAGTTGAAATTAATAGAGCTATGATAGAGCACAGCAGTTGAAGATCTAGTTCACTCTTTTTTGCTTAGTATTTAAACTAGGGATGTTAAATATTAGTTAATTGAATAGTCAAGTAACCTCATTAATTCTTATCAGTTAGTTGACTATTCTATAGTCCTCATGGGCAGGGCCTGCAGCAGCTCAGGCTGCCAGGCAGGAGATGATCCGCAAGGGGAGCCAGTTTAAAAACCAGCTCCTCTTGTGGACTGGCTGCTTGTTGCCCTGTGCTGCTGCTTCTGATAAAGAGGCAGCAGTGCAGGGTGGCAGCAGCTCCTGTCTGGGAGGGGGCAGGTCTGAGCTCCCGGACCCAGCACAAACCAGAACTGAGCCGGGCTGCCAGCCACCCGGCTCCTAATACACTTTAAATGCAGAGCCATAGTGGGGGTAGGTCCCAGACCTGGCATGAGCCAGAAGTGAGCTGGGCTGCTGGCCAGCCTGCTAAAAAATGTACTGGTTGGGCAGGGGCGGGCAGGGGGAGAGAAATGCATGTAGTCTATAGCATTAACCTGAAAGCTTTTGCTTATCGGTTAATCGACTACACTATTACCTCCCTAATTTACATGTAATGTATTTTTCTGATTTATGTGGGGCCTTTCATCCAGAAGAATCACAAATTTTATCAAATATTTAGAGACATTTCTTGAAGAAAGGTCTTTAAAAATCTAGTATTATGTATCTTTGGTCTATGGAACATTTTTATGTTAGAAAACACTTTTGTCCCAAATCCTCAAAGGTATTTAGGTATCTGAGTACCAGCAATTTCAATGGGATTTAGGCATAAGGATCTGGGAAACTGTATTTCCACTGTATATATGTGTTTATCTGCAGAACTCAAAGCACTTAACCATGCTCTGTAAAGGACTGTTTTCACAGCACCCTTATCTTGAAATAAGCTACACAATTTGACCTATGCAAATCACATAGCTTATTTCGTGTTAATTTCAAAATAGAGCGCTATTCCGAAACGTCCTTTAATCCTCGTGGAACGAGGTTTACA